TTTAATTACTTAACTTAATAATAATAATATAATAATAGTAGTTGTTGTATAGTATAATATATATATATATATATATATATATATATATATACAAAATACAGTTGTTGTTAGTGATTACACAAATTATGATGCTTGTATTGAAAGAAAAAGCTATTTAAAATTTGAGGTTAACTCTTTCGGCATGGGCTTGGTCCCTGGGACCAACCTCATAACCATTTTGTGCTTGTTGTAGTTTTCATGCAATAACTTTTAAAGTAGTAAGTGAATGTTAACGAAATTTGGCAGATTATCGGTAAACATTACAATGCTTTCATAAGCAAAATATCTTTTTTTATTAAGTCTTAAGGTTTATAAAGCAATGTTTTTCTCATGTCTTTTTTTTTTCTTTTCGCATGTTGCCTATCTATCATGCAAAGTAATATTCATTTTAAGATTAAATTTACTTTTACACATCAGAAAATTTTGAAATTTCACATGCAAAATCTTTATAATGTACAGATAGTTATCAAACATTTCTCAAGAAAATTTTTTATATTTTATCTGTTATTTTCAGTAATTAATCTCTGTACAAGTTTGGTAGATTTGACCAATCTTGCAACAAGCATAAAAAATTAGGAAATAAATATAAATTATGACTCTTTCATTCTAGAATGAACACAGATTATAACGTGAAAACATAAATGTTTAGACTAAATAGCTTAAATTTCATAACATTATATATTTATATATATTTATTATTTTTATTATATTGACCTTTCAGCCGTGCCTGGCTAACAATATAGAAGTTAGAATGATGCAGCTCATGTGCACATAAAACGGACCTTTAGTCTTTGCAAAATAACTTGTCTTGGCTTTGTTTTAGTAGACTAGTATTTTGTAAAATACAGTCAAATTTCAATTATTATACATAATATATGTATATAGATTATTGCTATTTAGAAATAAGTTCTTAAATTTATTTTTCTTAAAACATAGAACAGTAACCAAAGAAGTAAAGCAAACAATTATCTCTTCTAGTTATGACCTTTGTACTCGGTTGTTGCTTGACACAGGTTGCTAAGCCTTTAAAAAATTGTACATGGAGGATATGAAACTAAATATTTTTTTTAGGTTTTATATATACATTTCAGTAACTAAAAAATCATAAATTACTACATCAATACCATAGAATTCCACTATAATTTATCAAGCTTAGTAACTAAGATGTATTTTAGTAAAAAAAATATGAAATTTCAAGAAGACTAAAGACACACCTTACCTCGTTGAAATATTGGTTCAAAAGATAAAAATTTCATCACGTTCGTTAAAATGGCTCAGAAAACCACTAGGGGGACATTCTGAGCTTCTGATTGGTTACTCATGTCATATATAGAAGTAAGTGTTTATAAGGGAACATTTCCAAAAATGGAAGGAGGTGAGTTGGGTGCCACAATGTTTGATTTATTATGTGAGCAATATCTTAGCAAATAGAAGAGATAAGACCTTATTTTATATTGTAGCTTGTCAATATTTGTAATTTGAGTTTCTAATTCATATGAAACTATAGACTTAGTATTTTGACTTCACAAACATCTAATTTGAACCAGTACGGCATTCAACACACCACGTGACACACAAAAATCAATGTTTATCTGTGTTTTTTTAATATTTTCTTTTAAATTAAGAAATTGGGTAATATATAATACTAAAACTTGAATTCTAATCTACAGTTTCATACCAAACTTATTGACATAAATTCGTGAAATAGCAGTTCAATAAAAATTTGAATGGGAGTCAACAAATGAGATGACATAGCCTTTCACTCATGACCCGTCTTGAAAGGGTTAAACAAATTAATCATTTCAAAACCAGTGATAAAATATCATACTTTTCCTCTTATATTTTAAACTAAATGTTTTTGGTTTTAAAAATATTGTAAAAAATTGTGGTTTTAGACCAAACCAACATGTACACATATGTATTTAGTAAAAATCAACCCAATTCTCTGCTTTAAATGAAGCATGTCAAGCCACTATTGTAAAATTTTGTGATTGTATTTATAACATTGCAAAAAATAAAGATGCAGGCAGTTGAATCATTTGTAAAGCCTCATGATATAACAGTGTTGAAGGTCTTTGTGTACTGATTACAATTTGTTGAAAAACAACCTTTCTTTAATAATAATCCACACAGTGTTGAAGGTCTTTGTGTAGTGATTGCTATTGTTGAAATACCACCATTCTTTAATAACAATCTATACAATGTTAAAGGTTTTTGTGTTCTTATTACAATTTGTTGAAAAACAACCTTTCTTTAATAATAATCCACACAGTGTTGAAGGTCTTTGTGTAGTGATTGCTACTGTTGAAATACCACCATTCTTTAATAATAATCTATACAATGTTAAAGGTTTTTGTGTTCTTATTACAATTTGTTGAAAAACAACCTTTCTTTAATAATAATCCACACAGTGTTGAAGGTCTTTGTGTAGTGATTGCTATTGTTGAAATACCACAATTCTTTAATAACAATCTATACAATGTTAAAGGTTTTTGTGTTCTTATTATTATTTGTTGAAAGATCATTATAATATTTTATAATGTGTTTTGTTTTGTTTTTTGCTCATACTGCCAAATCTGCTTTGAAACTATTTAAAATGCTAATTTTTGCTGTGGTTTGTCTCCCATATTTATTAATATATTTTGTATAATATTTTGATTGTTAGTTTTAAAAATATCTTTAAGACTCAAAATAATATAAAAGCATATACTGAAGTGTTGTTATGTTGTTCTTTCTTATTGTTAATCATCAGATAAGCCTCTGGGCAATCAGTTAATGAAGAAGAACAATGTCCATAGATTTATCTTTAAACTGCAGATGTATTGAAATAAAAATTATACTTAAAGCTTACACTTTTAAGATGGATGGTGTTACTGAATTGTGTTAACTTAATCCAGAATTCAGATGAACACGTATCAAACTATCTTTAGCTCTTAGTTACTCAAGTCACTATCATAATATACTTACTGGTGATAAATGCAGGGTTCTCACTAGGCTCCGAGACTGTCAACTGTTTTTTTCAAGAGTCCCAATGAAATTTTCAAGGGTCCCATAGATAGAATTTAATAAACTCAAAAAAAGGAAAAAAAGTACTTCAGTTTCAATGAAAAACTTTATTTATAATGTACACTACATGTTTACCTTCTGCAAGTGGAAAAGAGTATGTTAATGTTTAATGAAAATCTTTATTTACAGTTCACACTGCATGTTGTTACCCCTTTATAAGTGCAAAGTGATTTTCATGATAAAATTATAAACACTTTTTTCCATCTGAAAATTTTCAGATATCATCTGCATAACCCCCTAAAACCTCCTTAATAAGTATCAAGTGTTTTTTTGTTTTATCCAGAAAAACTTTATATTTTATCAGTTCTTTTCTATGTGAGGCCGGAAATAATTCAAATTTCCCACATTTTCTTTCTAGATTGACTGCAAATTGTAACAGAAAACCACAATTGTTTATCTTAAGTAACTTAAAGCTTATAACAGCATACATCTATTTATACATATACATTTTATTGTTGTATTTGCCCTTTGAACCATGTCTATCTACTATTCTCACCATATAAATTACAAATCATGTGGTGAACGTGCAGCTCACATTAAGGTATCGAATCACATAATGCAGAAAATACTCGTGAGCAAACCTCATGAAAAATTATTATTAATATTATTTATTTTACTTTATTTAACTTAAAAAGTTTTCAGTTACTTTTATAATAATACACAAAAGAAAGTACTTACCTGTTTTTTTTTTGTTGCTGTTGTTTTTCTGACTTTCTAACTGTGTGATAAAAGTCATTAAAAATTCAGCCAAGCTTGTTGATGTGTTTTCCGTGGGAATAAGTTTGAACTGGAAGGAAAATAGAAATTCTCTATACAGACAACAACATAATGTAATACATCATTTGATAGAGAAAACCCTTGGCTTTCTACTGATTATAAATAATATAGTCTTAAATGTCAGGGAGAACTAACAGCAAGTTCTGACAGAGAGGATGTGACAGGTGTGGTCTGACTTTCTATGTTATTGCTCTGTAACTAAATAAGATTGAAGGCTATGTAAATTATGCTTTGTCTGAGCAATAAAAACATGATAATGAGTAATTTACATTAAATTTCGTACTTTTCAGTGGGGTGGTAAAAAATTAAAGAAGAGGTAAGTCGTAGATATCAAACATCACAGTTCTCATACTTGGGGAGACTGATATTTTTTTTTCCATATTTCCTTGTAAAATTAAGAACTTAAAACTTAGATAATACTAAAATTTGATTTATTATCTACATTCTGATGGAGAGTTTATTCATATGCATTGATAATAAAGTAGTTTAAATTTTGAAATTTCTGTGAAAGGTTGTGACAAGAGCACTTTGACCTACCTGAGGTGAAAGGGTTAATCTTGTTGTACTTTCATGTGGCTTTATTTTCCTGTGATTTATTGTCGTTGATGAAACCTGTTAGAAATTGATTGTGGACAGCTGTGTACAAACTGTATGCTGTTTAGTTTGTTACGGTACAAAGTACTTGTGCTTCCCTTGTGTGTTGGGCATTTTGAGGTATGTATTCGGTACTGTTGTGGTCAAATCTTGTGCATCCCTACAAATTTTCATGTTTACAGGATCCGTGAGTTTGGGTTAACTGGAACCTTGTAGTGGTAAGTTAATGGACTTACAGTACTAAAATTCAGGGTTTGATTTCCCATAATAGCCAGAGGGGAGATAGCTCATTACATAGCTTTACACTAAGAAAACAACAACTCTCAAAGTTGTTGAATTTAAAAAAAATTAAATGCTGTTCATTTCATGAACCAAATTAGAATAATTTATAACAATCCTATAATAACAATTAACATGTGTTTTAAACATATTTGGTTTAAATGCCTTTGGAACAAAACTACATAAAGTTCTGAATATGTTGGTTCTGTATACATTTTTTTCAAAAGTACCCTGTCAGTGATAAACAAGACTATCCAAAAATTGCAAACTGAATTTTTGTTCATATTCAACAATTAATTTTATTTTTGGATGTTTATTATCTAGATATTGCCAAAATTTTGCAACATGACTCTGTGAATGAAAATTAGTAAATATGACATCAACATAAAATTTATCAAAAAAGTGTTTTAAATTCTGTGAAACATTCCTTTAGCTTTGGTATTTCATAAAATCTTAAAAATACATTAGTCATAGCAGGTGCAAACTTAACTTTCATACTAATAACATCCCATCAATCTAATCATAAGTTGTTCCATTAAATATGAAAATGTGATTCCTTAACTGCAAAGGCTAACAATTAGAAAACACATTAGAAAGACCATCACTATATCTGAAAAATAAGTTCCGAGTGTAGGTTAATAGCATCTTGTAGTTTATAAATATCTGCTGAATTAAAAAACTCAAACTACTGCATCTTTAATGTGAACTTATTGCTCATAAAGATAATTTAAAAACTAGGTAGTTAATGATTGTCAGTTTTGCTAATGTTTGAAATTGTTGGTCTTGCAGAATTTGTCAAGTTTTAGATATTACACAGGCTGTGCATTGTTTGAGAATGAAAATCAACTGATCTGTGTTGACCTTCATTAACTTCAGCTGCACAGTTTTGTTTTTATTGTAAATGTCAGACCTTTGATCAACTTCATTAATTTATACCGTTTTTAAATATATTATTGGTTTTCTCAGCATAATCTTCTTCATTCTAAATTACTATAATTTTCTTTCAGATTAATCCTATTTTTATTTTTTATTATTTTACCTGCATTACATTTTGTTTTTTGCATTAAGTTTACTGTAAATGTACACTTCTATAATAAAATGTCAATACCATTGCGCACCATCTTAATATATGAAGATTAATAATATTGTATCTCAAAACTCTCCTTTATGCATGACCTGTCAAACTTACAATTGTATGCAAACTTTTATCATATTACTTTACAAACAAGAGAGCTGATTTTTTACTGATTGTAAAAATTGTCTCAAGTAAGTTACTTTAAAAGCAGACTGTAAAAGAAAACTTTTGCATTTGAACTTTAATTTGCCTATGATTTTTTCTTGAATGGTTAGGTTGTAAAAAGTTAAAGTTTAGTCAATAACAATAATTGTTTGCAGTTAAATATGTTTGTGCATTTACCCATTTGCAATTAATATTAATTTTTTCCTACTTCCCACTGACCAAGAGTTGTATGAGGAATATATAAATTATTATATTTCATCCTTAATCTGTTTATCATATTATAAGAATACAAATAAAAATTCTAAGAATGGTCAATAATTTATTTACTTGCTTTACACTTTGACTTCATTTTTGAGCTTTATTTTTATATACTCGTATTCCTTTATTACAATTCTTTTAAGTTAGTAAATTCTGGTTTTGTTCCTGTAGGGAGATGAACAACCATTTGAAAAAGGAGAGATGAATGTTTATCAGGAAGAAATAACACTAACTGATTTGTGTCACCTTGAATTGAAGAGATTTTGCTTTGATCATCAGCATCAACTCATCTCGGATATTCTAATCAGTGTTGAACATCTAAATCTACAGCATTACAACATTACAAAGATCAAAGCTAAAGAACTTACTCCAAGTGAAATATGCAGCCTGTGTATTGAAGAAATGAAAGAACTTGTACCAAATATTGTACGTGATCTAACACAGTATCCTCTGCCAAATTCACAAACTAGAAAGAATTTCATACTTCTTTATCAAAAGGCTGTTGTTGTAGAAGCTTTATGGGGAAGTGGTACAAAACAACATTCAGAGCATGTGGAGCACATCAATGATATTATATCACAGTTAGAACTGGTAAAATATTCAGATGTATTTCTTAACAAAATACAGACAAACTTAAGAACTGTACTTCATTAACCAAAATGTTTATTTTAGAAATTTTTATATTATAATACATATTTTATTCATTTTGTAGGAACCTATCACGATGATTTTTGTAGGTATTTTTCATAATGCTCAAAACACAGCTTAGAAAGTAGTGTATAACTATCAGACACAAAGAGAATTTATAATATCAAAACATGTTTTTATCATAAATCAATATGACTGCATGTTACAGTGCTAGGATTAATTGTACTATAAGTTTTCCATCATTTTTGAAAGTATCTTTATGTTTTTTAGGTGTTTTTTTTTACCTATGAATATGAACTATACATTTTAAGTATGTTGTGACTAATGAGGAATGATGATTGTGGTTGAAGGAGTCACCTTTGTTTCCTTGTTTATTGTAGTGTGACTGGATAATTATGTTTTGTTTTGGTCATTGTGTTTGAAGGATTGAGTCACAATGTTTTATTTTAGCCACTGTCATAAGTTAGTTAAGCTTATCTTTATTTTTCAGTTGATCCTGATATGAAACAGTTTCATTTATTCAACATTATATGCAACTTATTCTATATTTAACTTCAGGTAAAGACACATGGCTTTGAATATCAGCACTTGAGTAATACTAATTATATTGACTTACTAAGATACTTTCTCTTGAGTAGAAGAATTATTCACAGTCAATTTTCTGATTTATAGAACTTTTAACTCAAATATAAAGCAACTACTACCATCTTTTTATAAAATTTATTTTTTAAATAACTATATAATTATTGAATTTTTTTCATATAATGGAAACAATTAAAACTATGTACTTATAGTTTGGATAACAATTATTTCAGAGATAAGAAAAATAAAGGAGTGAAATAGTATTTTGATACCTCTACAAACTATGTAAGTTCAGGTTTAAAATAAAGGAATATATCAACTTTTTACTTGAAAAACTCTATATAGATATTGTAAAAAATGTTATGAGTGTTAATAAACAGTGTTTCATTGTCACTTCAAACTAATTAGACCAAAATAATAAGCAGCTAAGTTTACACTTCAACTTTGAGAAAAGTGAAAATGCCGATATTATTACAAGTTATAGCATAATTCTAACATATTTTTATCTAGTTTTTTATTGTAATATTAATTCTGAAATCACAGGTGTCACATATATACACACACACGCACATATACATATGTATATATTTACACACACACATGTTATATATCCAACACCTGTAACTTCAGAATTAATATAATGTAAAAATGTATGCAGACTAGATAACAATATGTCAAAACTAGTATAAATACCGAAATTCAACCAGTTGTTTAATTCATTACCATCATGCAACTAATCGAGATTTGTCTCACAAATATAATCTGGCTCTTCGAACAGCCAAGGACTGCAGTTTTGAAATATTTCAATTTCACATGCTCAGCTGGATTGATGATGTAGAGTGTTATTCAACATGGCTGTATATTCATACTAGCTTTGTGAAATGGTTGATGTGAGTTTTATTTATTCACTCATGGCTCTACTTGTTCATAATGAAGTAATAAATAAACCTGTCCAGCATTACCTATAAAGATTTATCCACCCCAACATTGACTTTATGTAATGAATGGTTTGATTAATCACCATGTAAACAATCTAGACTTAAATTGCCTCACAACTAGGAAACAAATTTGTTCGTGTTCGATAATTTTTCGATCAGTTGAGGTCTGCAGTTTTTTGTTTGTTTTTTCTCATTATTTGTAAAAAACAGCAAAAATTTTGCATATTACAGAAAAAATAGCCCACAAGAAATTATAGTGACAAACTAATAAATGGAGTTTTATAAAAAAAGACACTAAAATATTACAAGAGTTATTTTGTAGATGATGATGATAAAAATCAGTCTGACTCACAGTATGTGTCTTATTTGAAGATGTTTCCATATGGGCAGTATTACACAGCCGATTTGGAAAATGAGTGTTATTTTGACAATTTCATATGGCATATATAATCTCCACAATAATCACAACAGATGTATGAGAGCAGAAGGATATTTGCTTGCATAACTTTAAAAGTGTACTTAAATCTAGTTATTTTATCACAAAATTTATTTTTTAACTTGTGGCAAGAATAATAACCAAATAATGTGACTTTAACAAGTGTTCCAAAGTTTTTGATATCTACTACAGTGTTTAATTGGTGCAATGTAATGATATTAAGATAAATACCCATGGGCAGTACACATGCTTTGCCTTATTATTAAAAGAACTCTCTTGAATGAATTTCCTTTCTGCATAAATTGATGTGGCCACCATTAAACTATTGTTTATTTTGTGCCAAGCAACCCTGGTCTGAATAGATAGTTAGGAATTTTTCTTTCTGTCTTTATAATTTAAGTCAAAAACATGATTAAATTTGCAAAAAGGTTAAAACAAATTTATATCTTCTATAACAGTGCATTTGTATGTGTAACACAAACTTTCCTGCAAAATAAATTCAAATAGCTATAACTTTTCAATGACAGACAACTTTTCTTGTTAACACTAATTCAGTAGAGGGTCGTGTATTTAAGAAATTAAGAATCCCTCTTGTCAAAGAAAGTATAGACATTGGAACACAAATGATTGTTCCCCGAAAATAAAATACCAAACTTCCTATATACACTTCTGTTTTTTTAATAACAACAGTAAACTCTGAAGTGTTGCAAATAATTATTAAACTGTACTTTTTTTTCTGTCTGGTTTTTAATTTATTTGTTTTCCATTTTGAAACAAATTTTACATGTTTGTGAACTCTGTACTTGTGAAACTAGGTATAGCATATTTATAAAATATAACAAATAAATTTACAAAATCTTACTAAGTTGTTCTCAAAGCCCAGTTTGTTTAATTAATTTAATTTATTATTAAATGGTATAAATTGTAAATATAAAATTATTATTACAAATCTTACATTGAAATGTTTATATAGTTTTGTATATCTGTAACTTGTTATTGCAGTTTTCTTTTTCCTGACTTTGTTTGGCACTGTACAGCCATCAAAATATCAAAGGAACTGTTTTCAATTGAAGATTGTTTATCCATTTGAAAAACTGTATTCTTTGCACATTTCAATGCACTTAACTTCCATCTTCAAATCAGGTAGATTTTCCTCTGAAATACTGAAAGCCTCGTTAAGTTTGCACTCAAGCTGTCAACAAAACATACAAGTAAATAAAATTCAAATGTCCTTTGTGCAATGCAAAGCATGTCACTTGATTATAATTTTTCACTCTCCCATGTGACTTATTGCACTAAATCAAGAGATCTTACATAAGCTTTGTTTTCTTGCTGTTATTTAGATTTTCTTGTTCGCAGATCAATTTACTACTATGAGTTCAGAACTTCATGTTCAATATTATGTAAGTATTTCCATCACTGTCTGAACTTCTACAACTTGTTTGTAGTCCTTGTTAATGAAGTTTATCACTAATGTGCAGGGTGATGATGTAGTTGAATTGTCATCCCTGATTGCTCAATATATTCATGCCATTGTATACTGATGTTCCTGATAGGTTTCATGGTTGTGTGGATGTTCAGTTTCAGTACCACCCACCATTTTCTCCTATTTTTGAATGAAATTAATCTTTTACTTAGGCCTGTTTGCCTTTAGTGTCTATAGAGAAGGATTTGCTTGCTAGCCATAATCCTGACAATGACATTTCCACTGTTGTCATTTAATTTTTCTTCCAATTGAACCAATTTCTGACACAGCTGAAGGTGTTTCTAAAAGTTGTGTCATTGTAAATTATTCAGTACTTAGTTACATTATTCCTTCCACCTTCTACAGATATTCAAACTGTTTCAGATGATTCTAGAACCTAATTTTTTATTAATAGACCTCATATTCCATTTCCCATATTACTTCTCTAGTTTTTAACCCTCAGTTTGGTGATTCTAAATGGTTTTCCACTTTGGCTCATCATCAGTTCTCTGCCCTGCATGCTGTGATTTGTTTTTCTATAAATATTTTCTTTTTCATCGCCATTATAAAACATTAGCTACTCTCGTTCTCCTGATAATTTTAGTCAGAGTCAAATATCTACTTCGCATTCTTTGTAACCTCCAGGTTTCACTGACAACTTTTTCTGTTACCACATGGCTTTCATGTTCCTTCTAAACTTTAGCCCATTGGACTTTGTTGCAAGATACTTGTCTTCCTCTCATCTTTTTAGCTGACCTCGGAAAATGAAATAGGAAAATACTTGCTACATTCTGTCTTTGTAGGTATTTCACCCGATTTCCCATTCAGAAGTTGATTAGGGTTTTAGCATCTTTGTTTTTTTTTTTGTTGTTTTTTTTTACTTCTGGTTTTCACTTCTCTTCCTTCCAGAGACCATGCTCATTGCATCTACTCATACTTTTTATATGGCCTAGTATCAATGTAAGTGAGTGGATTTTTACAACCGACTCATTGACTGTTT